ATATTGGGAGAAGTAACATTTTCCTGTAATCATATTATAATTGAGCTAATTTGTAGGATATTCTTTTGTCGTAGGAATTTTTTGGCTTTCTGGAATGGCTAGAAATGACAAGTATCAGCAATAAGTTAAAGTGATCTTGTGAAGATAAAATGTTTTTGAGGGAAATAATATAGTAGAATTGGTGCAAGCAAGTTGTTTTCATATTACTGACTAATATCTTAATAACTTTGCTTGTATAAAAGGGAAATTTGCACTTCATGTTAGCGTTTTTCATGAATTCTATAAGCGAAATAGTTGTTAAATTTGATTCTTTGGGTCACATGATTTGATGCATTTCTGCTTCATTTTTTGACTGTTACCGTTGCGAGATGATATTTGAGAAGTCGTCGATTGAATGAATGCCTTTCAATTTCTTGTTTTCACATCTACTTTACAGCCCTTTTCTTTTTTTATTTTATTGCATTGTATTTTCGTTTTGAGAAGTACTGCTAAACACTATGTGCATAGTGAATTTGTTTAAGATTAGTGATCGAAATGGCATGCATAGTCAATGAAATACAAGATTTTTTTGTACATACAGTAATTTCTTCTTAAAATTTCAAAAAAGGAAGTTGCAAAAATCACCAAAGCAAATCAAAATATTTTGTATTTCAGTTGTCTTTCAGCAATTTAATAAAATAATTTTGTTATTTGACCTGAATACAATGATGTTTTGTGACAATTTAACACATTTAAGTTAACCATGTATGCAAGCAATCAAGATAATATTGAGTCCTGTCTCTTCCAGAAAGCTCTAAAATGATATTTTTATACTGAAATCATGATATTTTTCGTTTTTGAATTTGACTTCTATATATTTGATGGGTATACATTTCTCCAATTTGTCGAACACATCTGAAATACATCAATATTAATCTTAATTTTAAACAATATATCTAGTGATATAAAGTGAGCAAGTTTCAGCTTGTAACCAAAATACAAAATACCGAGAAGCTTCGATTAAAATTAAGCAAATGATATGAACAGAGCTTCCGTTATATTGAATAATTAACTATCCTTCGAGAATGAAAAATGGCCGCCGAATCATTGTTAAAATCTCATGTAAAAAGTGTAAAATGTGAATTCTCGCTTTGATTGTTGAAATGTCATAGATTCAACCATATATGGAATAATGACTAGATCTGAGTTGTGGATCAATTCATCATCAAAGTTCAGCAGAGGTGCCCCTGAAACTAATCCGATCTAAGTGAGAATGGTGACAGTGATTTTCCATAATAGAAATTTTTAATGTTTTCAGTAAATAAGCAAATAATTGTTTTTTAAATATTTTTTCCGTTGTTTCAATTTGAAAACTGATAATAGATCACCTAATCTGGATTATTCCATCTTGCTCAGCTGAATCTTAACTTACCATTATCTTAATCTCATTCTTCCATTAGTAATCGATAGGGCGGTCTTGCAATTACATACTTACTTCCTTTGCGCGCCAATATTGCTTTCAGCTAACCCAATCAGTGAATACTTTATGTTTTGGACGTTCTAAAGCAATAAACTCAAAGTAGGTTGCAAAAAACACAGAAATGCCAAGCAGCACTTTCTTGCGCAGTAATATACCTCATAATTATTATTAAATAATTTATTTACATATATGTAGGAATCACTGGCATTTACAACATGGACTTGGATTAGTGGAAAAAAAAGTATAATATCCATATTATCCATTTTTGATAATTTTATTCATTATATACTTTAATTTCGAATTTTTTTCACAGTTGCTATTAGCATACCAAATGTGTCGTATTACTTTAAATTAAGAATATCATACATAACAAGATAGAAAAAACATAAATTTGATAAGAATAGCTTTCTACAAAAATATTTTTGAGCATTCAGAGCTGTTGGCTGCAATTCAATACAGTTCATTTTTTCGTTTTTTATAAGCACTTTTACTGTTAACAACAATAAGTAGAAATGATATTTTATTTTTACTCACACTCCATAAATATATGAGCAAAACAACTAATTTCACTAATACCATTCTCAAGCATTGGTAGTTGTCGACTTCGGTGACTGCATTTCTTGGTGGTTACGTGAATTATTTTCTCTTACAAGTCTGTACACAATAAATAGTTAACTCTCTTTCACACAAATGAGAATAATAAGATTAGTCAAATGTAACTTGTAATTACTGAAGTTAGTTCAGTTACATAACTGCTGTAGATGTAGCTTCTGACTCGCATAACTACTATTTTTACTTCGCAAATCCAAAGTAATTTCTTTAACACGTTTTTGTTGCATGCATTAGCCAGCAGTAATGTGTAAGTGTAAGTGAATAATTACTTTGCAATCCTATGGACTGCATGAGCAAGTCACACGGGGCAAATGTTTTCTCAGTTTATTTTTTTTCAAATTGCTATGCTTTTGATTGTTTATTAATGCTCAAAGTATGGTATACAGCTGTCTCTCAGAAATTTTGCATTTGAAATCGTGCGCGATATAGCTAGCTGTCTTTGATTTATGAACGTTAAGAGTATGAGATGAAATGAAAAGTCAGCAGTTTTCATCTATGCAGGCATACTACCATTGCAAGAATGCTGTTGTTGTTAACTGTATGGATTGGGATGGTTTTGCAAGCGAATGCTTTCATTCAATTCGCTCCTTTCTTCCAAAGGTTGCAATGTGTTGGTGCAGTGGGACAACTGACCTGCAATGGGAGACCATCTCCCAATGTGCCAGTAAGACTGATTGAAGAAGACAGTGGTTTGTTATAATTATAGAATGAATTAATACGATTCTTTTAAAGCAGAATATTTTCATGTAATAAATATCATATCAATTAAGGAATATTTGATCGTGATGATCTGATGAGTGAAACACGTACAGATGGAGCTGGTTTTTTCCGCATTTATGGATGCGAGGAGGAGATATTAAATATTACTCCTAAACTCAATATTTTACATGATTGTAATGACGAAACAACGGTAATTTTCATTTGTTGTCTAATTATTGTTTCTAAAATCTGTCAGGCATTTTTTTTGTTGTAAAATTTTTTTGCTCTCTCAAGTGATAAGCTTAACAATTAAAGTAAAAATAAATTTGGGAATACAAAATTATTTTAAAAGAAATGCTGTTTCTACCCACAAATTTTTCAAAATTCGAA